CAGACCCGCCCGCCCACATCCACGCTCCACACGCCGCACCGCCTCACGTTTGCCACTGCCAGACCCGCCCGCATCCATATGCATCACCTCCTCCCCGCCTCACGCTTGCCCCTGCCAGACCCGCCCGCCCGCATCCACGCTCCACATACCGCACCTCCTCCCTGCCTCACATCACCCGACCATTCACACTACCGTTACATGGATGGCAAAAGTGGCAGACGGGCAAGGAGAAGGCGGGGGGAAGAGGCAGAGCGGGAGCGAGGCCAAGTTGCTGCACCATGGGCCTCTAGGTTGTACTTGCCCCCTGGGCTAAAAGTTGCCAGTCAGCCCCTGTGGAGGTGTGACCCCCTCCCCTCCCCCCCGCACACACATATAACATGTATAACACGGTCAGACGTCTGCTGTCCACATCTTTTATCAGCCTCTTCAGCACTGAGATCAAATCAGGGAACTGACATCTAGCAGCAGGTGAGTCCGTCTGTCCTCCCATCCACACATATCAAAGGGCAGATGTGGTGTCAGTGTATTGGGAACGGTTGTAGGGAAAAGAGAAGGCGAGCGGACAAACAGCATAGGGAATGAGGGGGGACATTTAGAAATTGGCACCTAAACTAGCCGTTTGGGCAATCAACACCCTCTGTTGTCTATTTTTTTTATTATCAATTTTATGTTGTCCTTGATTTAAGCTCAGTGCTCCCTAGCTTCTGTCCCATCTAAACCATATTATTTTTCCTTTAAGACTTCCTTAACAGACATGAGCTTTTGTTTTGGGCGATATTTTTGGGGTTTTCATTTATTTTGAGGGTACATTTATTATGTTGGGTTAACCTGTTTATTTTTGCTGCCAGGCTTCCCTTAGAATGCACTTTTGTTTCAGGGGGGTGGTATTTTGGGGGGGTTTCAATCACATTGAGGGAAATTTAGGGTTCTTTTCGTATGTTGATAAAGCAATTTTTTAGCAAAAAGTACAGTTTTCCCCAAAAGGGGATCCCACCATTCCTTCAAAGTATGCGCAAAATATTTATAAAAATATATTTATTGTAGGAATATTAAAATATCTAATAAACATAAACCAACATATACACGGAGTGACCAGATTATTATGACCCCCCATCAGTACTTGGTTGGGCCGCCTGGTGACTCCACGAGATGGTGAAAGGTGATGCGAGGAATCTGACACGGCACTGTTGCCCTTCTGTTGTCTTGTACCAGTCTTGCCCCTCCCCCGTTCTGCCCTAACATTGACTAGTCGCTGACGGCCACAATTCGCACGCTCAGACCCAGATTTTCGGCTGACAGTCCGGTCTTTAAACACTTTAACAATGAGCCGCTCCTGAACATGTAACGAATTCTGCTGTTTTGCTGATACTCGCTCCATGGCTCCGAGCGCCAACAATCATCCCGCGTTCAAAGGCTGTTACATTGCGTTGTTTCCCCGAATCTTCCCAATCACTTCTACTGTCGTGGTAACCAACCCGCTTCCCTATTTATAATGGTCTGGCCCTCTAGCAACTTCAGCGCCAAATTATAGCTAATTTGCCTACAAACGTCAGGTGGTCATAATAATCCGGCCACTCAGTGTATATAATAATCCGGCCACTCAGTGTATATATGGCTGCATTCAGTTAGTAATTTTAAACAATGCTGTGGAGAACAAAAGTAAAGATATGCCCTGGAAAAGTCTTAAAGTGACATTAAACCCTCAGATTTTGTAACATAAACCAATACTGTAATGTGCGCCTTACTGTAATCCATGGTAGTTTCCCTTCTCTTTGCTGCTCTCCCTTTTAAATCCTCATGTCTTCTCATGCTGGGGGAGAACTTCCCTTTGCAGCTCAGGGCCTCTTCCTGTAGCGCTGGCTCAGGTTGCAAACCTACACACAGACGCCATGTATCCATTCCTGAGACAAGGCAGTCTGCTGCAAAATAGAAGTTCTCCCCCAGCATGAGAACAGATACAGATTTAAAAGGAAGATTTGTAGTAGATGCCATGTGTAGATGCCATGGAATTTTAAATCCAGATCTTAGGATAACGTGAAGATAGAAAAGATCTTCTTTGCTGGGTCACTGTAGGGTAATTAGATGTTCCCAGACGGGGATCCAAGGTGGTGTTGTCGTCAGATATAACGAAAGCTGTAGTGATAGCTGTAATGGGTTCAGGAGATAACCTTATCTCGGCTTCTTTTGATTGTATAAGATATAAGCCTTTACTGAAACCGCAAAGTCTTTATCCTCTATTTTCGATAAACGGACACCAAGTATGCTCTTATGGTTCAAATATATCAGGCAAGAGTGACCTGTAAGTAGGTATTTCAGGCGAATCACAGGGCGACCTCCAACGAAGCAACCATATAGTTAAAGAACCTCTGCTAAACGCTATTAAGATAGGGGACCCTCCTTCACCACATTTCATGTGGTTTATACCCTTCCAAACCTTCCTATCCCCTTGTATATCTCTAAAGCATTTTTTTAATTATTTTGGGGTGCTCAAATAACGGAATCCACTTGTTATCGACCCTCTGTGATTAGAGCACATAAACCACCTAATGTTATATAACTGACATTCACATGTCATGTGGTCTCTCATCCGGTAATCATGTGATTACTCAGATGTTCCAGTTCCATCTCTCTAAGCAATGCGTGTATCAGATATCAGGCTCATCAAATGTCTATTTTCAAACTCATTGTTACCCTGATCATGTTATATTAGAAGGCCTTCTGTGATTGGACAAGGGGTGAGGAGGGAAGGATGAACATCAGGACCACCTTTTCCCAGTCATAGACTCCCTTGTTTTCCGGGAATAGAAGATGTTTGACGAATGGAGGAAGGGAAGAGCAAACATTGATTAGATAACGGTGGACGTCCTCCAGCCAGGCAATGAGGCGGAGCTCTATCTGACTAGCTGCAGTTCCTAATGCACATTGTGAGAAGCTCCCAGTGTGCAGTGACATCAGAGGAATTGAGTTCAGCCCAGGACAGGAGTCGATACAACTGTGCAAGAATAAAGGGAAGGCTAGAGATCTGCTTTGAATTAATTCTGAATCTAAATGTGGTCTGAATTTTGGAATCAACTCAGAATTATGCAGAACGGATGATTTTTGGTACAGACCTAACATAGAAATAATTTGATGTTGGGGGCACTTTAATATTATAATTACAACAGCTTTCTTTCTTTTTCTTTGAAATAACTCATTCTCCATGTGACATGCAATAAGTCAACAGTCTTGTTTAACAGCAATGTCTTGTTAAAGTGACACATGTTCTGTGAGGTTGTGGTATTGTTTTCCTTTTGCGGTAGAACAACCATCGTATACATGCCTGAGAACACAACATGTGAGAAGAGGAATCTGAGTCTCTATTCCGGTTGTAGCCATGAGGACATCATGCGTTCTAGGCTCATCCAAGCACACGTTTCAGTCTTAGTTGTACATGTGTGCCGCGTCTGTGAGGCTTCACTTGTTATCAGGGCAGTCATCAGAAATTTTAGGGCCCCCTTACACGGCTTTAGGCCCCCCCCCCCCCCCCGCGCCGCTGGACGCAGGTCTTAGTGACGCGTTGGACACAGGACCCACCTGAGAGTGACCCTGCAGAGCCCACCATAGATGCTGCACAGCCCATCTGACACTGTCTATGGTGGGCTCTGAAGGGGTCTCAGGTTGGCTGGTCAGGGCTGCATCCCTCCCTCCTTTCCTTCCTTCCTAGCTCCTCTTACCTGCACACATGGCCTCGTCTGCCGCTGGACCGGCCAGAAGTGACGTCACTTCCGGCCAGTCCGACATCAGACGAGCAGCGTCGCTGATGGGGCCCTAGCTTGTCTTAAAGCCACTGGAGCGGCAATGCTGGGGCCCTGCGCTGCTCGGGCCAGGCCTCCGCCTCCTCGCCCTTCACCGTCGGCCGATAGTCATGTAAGGGACCCGGGCGGGCCTCCCAGGCTGCCCGGGTGGGCCCCCCAGGCTGCCCGGGCCCCTTACATGAGTATCTGCCCCTGATGGCTGCCCTGCTTGTTATCATTGTCCATCCTCATATACAGTGGCGTAGTGGTTAGCGCTTCTGCCTTGCAGCACTGGGGGTTCCTGGTTTGAATTCCAGCCAGGTCACTATCTGCAAGGAGTTTGCATGTTCTCCCTGTGCTTGTGTGGGTTTTCTCCGGGTACGCCGGTTTCCTCCCACACTCCAAAGACATGCTGATAGGTTAATTGGCTCCTCTCTAAGTTGGCCCTCTATGTATGCATGTGAGATAGGGACCTTAGATTGTCAGCCCCTTGAGGGTAGGGACTGATGTGAATGTGCAACTATGTAAAGTGCTACAGAAATTGACGGCGCTGTATAAATAAAAATATACCAACCATAGGAACGTATGTCACTATCTGTGGGCTCTAGTCATAAACGACATGTGATTACGCAGATGTTCCAGCGCTAGCTCTCTAAGCTACATTTGTATCAGATATCAGGCCCATCAAATGTCCATATTTGATTGATTTTTCTGATCATGTTAAAGTAGGAATCTACCCACAACATCTTGTTTTTAGTTTTGGACTGAGTGTGAAAGGGTTAAAGTTAAAGGGTTGCACCAACATTTCAGCCGAAAATCGTACTGTGGGCACAATGTCGAGAGTACAAAAACAGTCGTAAATGCGGGGCATCCCCAGCTTCTCTCCTCCCCAATGGGTGCCAGCTGCAAACTTTGGTTTGTGTCCCCTCTGATCACCGCTGCTCTTCTCCACCTGTGTCGGCAGAGAGCCGATCCAGCTGCTGGCTACCAGCGGGGAAGGGAGAAGCTGTCAGGAGGTGAAGCAGGGTGGAAAGCTTCAGCAGGAGTCAAGAGGGGGTGGAGCTTCAGGATCTGTTAAATATTTAGCGATCCTTCACGGTACTGAGCAAACAATGAGTGATCAGTACTGGGGGTTATTCACGTAGGAGCCAAAGGATCCAGCCGTGGCTTCGACAGCCGTGAACTCCGCCCAGTTGTAATGACAGACCAGTCATCTGTCATTAAACAATAACAACTGGGCGGAGCTGGCCATGAGCATGTTCGGCTGACCGTAGTGCAGCTGAAGGCATACTGCATACGGAATAAGCGGTATACACACTTCAAAAACAAGTCCTCATTCAGTTTTGTAGCTAAAGCCGTAGTGGAGAAATTCATCGTCAAAGTTCACAACAAGTGAAATGAAATCTCAATTCTTGTTCCTATCAGGTATTATGGAAATGGAGTCTTGGCAGCCTGCCAGTGCTCCAATGTAAACGCACAGCACATCTAGGTTTGTATTCACGTTCCTGTACCAGTATACACATTGCTGGACTACTCGGTGATATGATGGCTTTAAGCTCCCTCTATTGTAAAAATAAAATGACTGTTTTCCTTCTTTTGAAGAGGCTCCTAATCCGCCCCAA